ACAATTTCCTTCTCATAACATATTCCGGAAAAAAACAAAAGGCAAACGGTAAGAGGGAGGCAACTAGATGTGTGTTGTAGGCTGATAAGGTCAAGCGTAAAATTTTCAACAGCAAAGCCTATTTTCTGTTTGAGTCGAGTTGAAGAAGGCGTTGGATATGACAGATGACGAAGTGGGGGTGATTGGAGAAAGAAGCGTGTATGTTTTCGACCAATTAGAAGTGTGCTTTATTAACGACGTCACTTTTTTTCATTTGGGTAATGTTTCCCTTGTGGCGTGGCGTGTATCGATCGAAAGTTACAGCGTGAAGCTTCATTCATAACCTTGAAATTAGAGGTTTCAATTAGCGCAGAAGTTTGTACCTTTAATTTCAATGTACGCATTCAGAACGTCAAAATTAGTGGTAATAAAGCTTAAAGCTTTATTCAGAACCTCGCAATTAGCCGAATAAATTAGTGGTTTCAATTAGACTTTATACTTTTTACTTTACGATCATTCACAATATTTAAAAAAACACAATTAAAATTAATATAATATCGTAGCAACAGATTGCGTCACTCAGTTGTATCCATAGAAAAAGCCTAATATTTAGCCATGATACAAATAAAACAAGGCATGATATTGCGCAGGTTGGTCACTACGTAAGCGGTGATAAACGGCACCATTCGTTTTAGTGGTTCATTCATTTATTTCATTGGTCGGCAAACTGCGCGCGCCAATTTCAAATTGTCAAACAGATGACTCAAATTGTCAAACAGATTCTCAGGAGATTGGATTTAGACCAGAAAGACATCCGATGTATTGAAAACCTATACTAGCACTAAGAAGAAGAAACAGATGACACATAAATGTAAAAATAATGTTTCAAATGTCCTTGGATTCTTTAGTCATTGGTTTTTGGATATTTTTGAACCCAAAATGGCGGCCGTTTAGCTTCGGATCATAACGGTTCATGAACTGCTTTTGACACGCTTTTGAACTGCTTTGAACCGCTATCGAGCAGCTTTTGAACAGACTCTATTTGAAACAGACCCGGTGAATGATCGTAAACCTATTGTTGTTTGTATTTTCCATCATTTTTTGAATATCGCCTCGTACAAATTACAGAGGTAATGATTAAGCAACATTATTTTTTATAATATCAAAATAAATTCTTTAGCGACATTTTCAAAAATAAGGTGATGTTTGACCATGTAAGGAAATATTCTCTATTTTGAGAGAGAAATACACATTAATAATTACATTCCCTCAAACCATACAAAATCACTTACCCCACTTGTTTGCTCTTTTCTAATTTTACATAAATGTACCAATTTCCAGTTATATACCAATTTCCATTTAAGTGAAACAATTTTTTTCGTCATTTTTAATTAATACCAACCGATTCTCACGATAGAAGCAAAAATAACTGGTAGGAACCCGTTTGTCGTTCAAATATTTATCTAGTACTCAGATATTTAGATCAATATTTTGAACAAATTTTTTTATAAAAAGTTAAATATTATTATTAAAATATTGCCTTGTGTGATGCAAACTATAATAATTGTTCCATATATCGAGGTGACATCATTTCTATACATTTTTACCAATTTAAGTTGAAAATTTCCTTTAAAAATCAGACCCCCTATAGTAGTAAGTTAGTTAACAATTTTTTACATCACTTTCTTTGTGATCTGCTCATAGACCATATAGAGGCAATATCTAAACAAACAATTCTAGAAGTAGGCTCTGAAAAAAATATTTTGACATTTAGTATTGTGCAATTAAGTTCTCTTATCTTAATAACATAATTTTGGAACAAGTGTACATATATAAATAATAAATACGTAGGACATGAGATCGGTATTAGAAGGGATAATTAGACACACGAAATTCTACGAAGAATACCCAAGCAGCATTTGGACATCGGGACAACGTTGTGTCACGCGACCAAACGTCGGGGCGCAACGTCGGCACAACCTCGTGCCAACCCTAGTCTGCCTAGTTTGGAGAATAATGTTTGGGTCGAAACGACGTTGGATAGTACCTACGTTGGCTAGCAGCCTAATTTAGTACAAACTGCAACGTTGTTTAAAATCCTAATTCACAGAAATACAAAACTATAATAATATGGCGTCTAAGTCACGTTTTATCATAAATTGGGTTAATTATGGTAAAAATATTATTTTTATGATTTAGTTAGAGACATATGCCAGATGGCAGTAAAGGAAAACAAAACAAAAGTATTTAAGTGTGGAGGATGTTTGAAGATCATAATTATTGAAACACTTTAACCAACTCTGTAACTCGTTACCCAAGGCAAAAAAATTAAACGCAAACAACTTTATTGATAAATGTATTGTTTCTGCTTAAAATTAAAGAAGTTTTAAAATATTTCTTGAATTTTTTTTTTACACTAAGGAATAAAATACCCAATCATACCATACGAAATCAAACAGGAGTAAGGGATGCGGTGACATCTGTCATACATTTTAAATGGAATTGGGCAGAACATGTGGCTAGGATAACAGATGCACGGTGGACAAAGAGACTTGTGGAATGGTGACCAAGGCACGAGGCCTATAGAAGAAAGAGGACGACCTCCTTGTCGATGGACAGATGATATTAAGAGATTGGCTGGAAACTGGATTCAAGTTTCACAAAATAGAAAGAAATGGCGAGAGTTGAGGGAGGCTGGCTTTTGTTCAGCAGTCGACAGAATAAGCTAAATGGTGATGATGAAATAAGTTCCTAACATGTACAAATATGAATTTTATGATGCCATCTTCATAAATGTTTTTTTCTAATTTTTTACCACTAAATTTAATTTTCTTTAAATACTATTAACAGATTTAATAAATTTAACTGAATATATTATGACCTCTTGAAAATATTTGTACTTATTTAAGACCCACCCTGTATTATGTGCTCTCAAATATAGTAAATGCTGCCTGGAAAAATTGTTTTGTATAGTTAATTGAAATATATTTATTTATGTCATAAATTTAATATGTTATTTTATATTTTCGTGAAATTTTTCCATTCCCTGGTGAATTCTCTTCTCTGTATATTCATTTAATTAACGTCCTCGTTATTTGATCGCTTTATTTTCACAAAAATAAAATGGCCGCGGCAAGGTCGCTTTAATATCTTCAATAAACGTTTCGGAATAACCAGTGTATCCTCCATAATATTTTTCGCTCGCACTTTTTTATATTGTCATTTTTAAGCAAATAAATATTGCAAATACAGCTCGTCAGATGATATGCAAATATCTCGATGTAATACTCCTAAGTTACACTAACTATATTCATTGAATTGTTTTACCCAACATATATACAGGGTGTTCCAGGCTGAGCGCGCATTAGAGATCGGAGATTTTTTGCACATCATTGTTTTACAACGAGATCTATCGATTAAAAATATTTTCAATATGGCGGCACTTCGGGAAATACCGGAAGTTGACAGCAACTTTCTTATTTTAAATGGGTACTCTGAAAAAGTGGGTCCTAATATACCGATCGAAAAAAAAACAGAGCAAAGTTGGCTTGGATATGATGATCGATAACATACTGCTCTTTGAACAAAGTGTTATAATATGACATGGCCAGATATATTGTTTTACATCACTTGACGTTTAAAGTCATAGGCTACTGGTTAAAATCAAGAAAAATATACGCTTTAAAACTAAATCTTAAATAACTTAAAAACAATTTGTATGTAAAAACAATGTATAATCAAAAAGTAACGAACTGAAAAGCCGTTTCACTAGTGAAATAAAAAAACGGGTTTCCATTTGAAAAAAATGATTTATGATCATTTTTTAATCGCTCAATTTTATGACAGCTGCGGCCATTATTATATGACATTCGAACAGTTTAATTTTTGTAATAGATAGCCACATGTTTTCTCTTTATGGCACAGTGGCTGTGGTAATCATTAAATTTGACGTTTAGGCTATACACACATTTTTGACAGGTAGTTTTTTTCGTTGCTTTAAAACAAAAATTTTAAATATTTTTTTCTCAAAAACGATGAATATTAGATATAGAGTTTTTAATATCAAAATTCATAAAATTTTATGGATAATTTTGGTATATAATAAAAAATGGGGGCGCCCATTTAAAGTAAGTAAGTTGCTGTCAACTTCCCGTATTTCCGGAAGTGCCGCCATATTGAAAATATTTTTAGTCGATAGATCTCGTTGTGAAACTATGATGTACAAAAAATCTCCGAGCTAGATGTTGTAGTTCTCTAGAAACTTCTAATGCCCGCTCAGCCTGGCACACCCTGTATACAAGGCGAGTCTTAAATAAGTGCATATGTTTTCAGGGCCGGTAGATCTCGATAAAAGAAACATATTTTCTCTTTACCGTTTTTCAAATAAGTCCAAAATGGCGATTGTGAAACATTCCGTAATAACCGAGTTAATCATGTTTCGATTTACAAAAAAATTTATTTATTTCTAAAAAAATTTGAGAGCCACCGGATTTTTTCTGTATTTGCATCCCTTTTTGTGCCGTAACCATGGTAATATCAGAGATTAAGAAATTTTACTGCAGGAAAATTTGCGGTGAACAAGCAGTTCTAAAAAGTTTTCTAATATATACAGGAAAATTTTAAAGAAAATACACGATTTTCAACATCTTTTTTTCTTAGTGTCTTAGACCGTTGGACGATTTCCATTCCAGGCTACGGATAGAGTCTTCCATGTTCTTGAGTTCCGCTTTAAGTTGGTTTCCACTTGGGAAGCAGAAGGGTTCTGGTCCAGTTAGTGAAGTGTTCGCTTCTTTCTGACACCCAGTGTAGGAAGACTTTATTTTCTTTGCCTAATTTTTTTATATCTCCACTATTCATATCATCCTATATTATTTGACGAGTTGAAAATGAGTTATTTCAGGCATATCTACGGAAAATTTCAGCAAAGCCCAATCTGAATCAAACTGATTAGAACCAGAACATTTAATTTAAATAATTGACGTATATTATGTAACAATATAGTTAAGTTACTTAAAAGAATTAGTTAACCGCAGTGTCAATTGATTTCGTGACGAGTCTCGGATTTTAAATTAGAAATAATTTTAGCAGGTCAGTTTTATGTATTTTCTATTCTGTTGCTAAAAATAATTTAATCGTTTACATTGTTTTTATGGAACAAACAGCGTTTTAAACTACTGTTATACCGGGAGTTTTTCAAAAGTGGCCTACCACTATAGCTTTATTATTTTTTCAGACGAGAAAAAGAATATTTGGTATGTTAGTAGATGACATAAAGCAGGATTTATTGACGTATTCATTTATTTTCCTAAAAATTAAAAGGCGTTTCTATAGTAATATAATTTCGATTTCATTGTTGGTTTTTTTTTCAAACGACAAAAAAATATGACGTTAATCAAAATTTTATCAAAAACAATCTATTAAAGAGTGAAATAGTTATTTTTTATACAAGACGATAAAATGGTATTTTATCGTCGAGCGAAAAGATTAATTTAATTAGTTGGCGTTGGTTTCTATGTAATTTGACAAATAAATAAAGCTGTCTCTTTAGTTGTCGGTTTTGAGTCAATATTTTTTAATTCTCTTTCGTGTCGATTGCTGATTGAATTGGAGCCAGAAATGGCTCAAAATGAAATAAGTAAATTACCAACAGATGTTCAGGCTGAGGCGACAAACGCCATATCCAAGCTACTTCCATTTAAATCCTTTTAAAAAGGAATACAAAAATTTTCAAAAATGGAAGCAATTAAAATACGTGCGAGAAGAAATAAAGTTTTTAACCTATCCTCGCTGTTAAAGTATCATTTAATCTACCCTTGCGGTTAAACTACTATTTTATCTACTATTTTTGATAGATATAAGGCAATTTTAACAGTTGCCATCGAGAAAACGAAATTACATTACCATAGAAACGCGTTTTGTTTTTTAGGACTAAAAAATTCAACCATATTTTCATGTTTTTTTAATTTCTCTAAAACGGTATGGAAATTTGGAAAAGTATAAACAGGATTAACCATTTTAGAACAAGCAAAATTTATATGAAGACTGCATTTTTCTCAATTATAAAATGTTTGTCCTCTTCTGAGGACAATCCGGGGACATACTGTATATCAGTTAATCCAAATATTATTAAGATCATTAATCCAAGAACTACATCTATATATTCACGTATATTGTCATTTTTAATGAAAAAAGGCCAAATTAGAAATGCTAATTAAATGTCTTCGGTGGACCGATATTATAATTGCAAAAAAGCGTGAAGAGCGTGCGAATGAACAACGGCGATCGGCCGTGAACGACGGCGATTCACAGAAATCCCCCGCTATTGGGTCAGTGTCATCGGCTAGCGTATGCAAATCGCCCGAGCAGACGCTCTTCAAAAACTCGACAACGGACTGACTAACGACGCGAATGTGCTCTCTTAAAGGACACCCCATACGGCCCGCCATGTCGGACAGATCTAGAGATTTTATCAGGAATCGATTATATTTCGATTTTTAATGTAGGTATTATAAAAATAAGGTATCTTTTAAATGAGCGCAAGTATTTTAAGAAGAGATGAATACAAAATTACTACCTGTGGTTTATTTTACAGGTACATTCTTCTGTTCTGTTCTTTTCAAAAAGTCTAGCAACTTGGAGACTGTATACCCTTCATATAGCTCTATGTCAATGGTCTCTCATTGCCTAGCACAAAAACCACACATTTACCAGGCTGTCGCACTTACATAAAATGTATCTTTTCTACTTCAGATTAACAAAAAATCCTGACAACTTTAGATGCCTATTAAGCTTATAATGTTAGGAGACCCACTTCAGCTTTGACAGTCTTTCTGTCTTTGCTTATCAGATTGTAGTAAAAAATCTCTGCTTTATGGTGAGCTTGTAGACGGTAAGAGGAGCCCGGGTGGACAACTCAAAAGGTACAAGGACATTTTCCACGAAAACTTAAAGGGAATTAACATGCAGAATGTGTGAGAACTCGCGAAAATCAAAAAGTAAAGAGGCAATAAAGCAGTGAGCTATTTGAATGTCCGGAGTGCAGTAGAAAGATAACATCACGTATCGGGCTTTTCAATCTCAGAAAATCTCATGAAAGAAAACGTCTGAGAACATCTTCTGATGCGTGTCAAATACTCGTCAGCGAGTAATGGCAGTATGTATATGTATGTAGTATGCTTATCAGGTCGGCCGTGAATTTTGGCGAATATTCTACTATGATTTTTTTACCTTTCTCTACCCTGGGAAATATCTCAACCATTCTAGTAACTTGTTGGCCAACAGCTGTTTTGTAGCCGTTCTTGTGGCTGCGAAAGGGTTCTCAGTCTATGAATTGGCATTAATGAACCATGTTTGGCCATTTTATCTGTCTTTTTGTTTGCCTTAAGCTAACGTAACATTACTACGCTCACCCAATGTATTTAGAGCACGCTCTCAAGTCTTGTAACATCAAATTTCTAACATCAGAAGTGAGATTTTACCCTGTAATAAATTACTAATCGATTTGTTAGTGATTTATTGCAAAATATTTTGTGATAAATTCAGTTTTTCTGGTGAAAAAAAGTTGAAGGAACTACTTTAACCAGGGACTTTGTAGTTTTACCGCCAAAAATTTGTATTTCCTATTTTTTAAATTTAATGGAAATAGCCAAGTTATTTGTTTTTATTTTGAGGTACCACCGGCATTAACCAGCAATCAGTCGGCACTCAATTTCGAAGCCGTATTTTATCACATGGACAAAAAATTATACTTAACATGATTGAAAATACTTCGTAATATTAATATAAAAGAATCTCCAATAGTTTTTAGGGTTCCGTACCCAAAGGGTAAAAACGTAAACCCTATTACTAAGACTTCGCTGTCAGTCCGTCCGTCCGTCTGTTACAAAGGTCTATCTTATGAACCGTTATAGCCAGATAGTTGAAATTTTTACAGATAATGTATCTATGTTGCCCCTATATGAACAAATACTAAAAACAGAATTAAATAAATATTTATAAATAAAAAAGTACTTTCACTAAACATTATCTTTTAAGTAAGAATTTTACATAGAATCTTTCAAGTCCTCGCTGGCCGCGTGGTTAAAACGTTAGGACTTTACGCTGCTAAAGTGACGTTGGAGCCGTAGTAAGGCAGGTTCGAATCCTAGTCAAGGCGACTTTTTTTTAATCATTTTTTTTTAATTTTTACATATTTTTACATATTTATTTTTACTTTTTACATATTTATTATTGATTAATACAATTTTTAGTAATGTGTTTTTTCATTTTTTTTTAATTACTTATACGCGCATTCAAAATTTCAGCTATGATCAGCTATCAGATAATGAATGGTACGGAACCCTTCGTGCGCGAGTCCGACTCGCACTTGATCAATTTTTTTAGATTTATTCTCTCAGTTTATATGTATTAGTGCCTGTTAAAAAATATGAAGAGTGCAAGAAAAAGTACAAAGCAGTACAAAGGATAATTAGTAATGCCATAAATACAATTAACTTAATTCTACTAATTTATTGTGTAGAAAATTAAAATTACTATAAATTCTTATAAACATACAAAAATGCAGAATTTGGGTAACGAATAGGAGGGTATCTTAAAAGAAACTTTTTTTATTATTAGACTTCCTATATCAACTAGATTCAAAACTAAATGAGTTTTTAAAATCCGATACTTAGGACATCGTCCAGAAGCAGCTTTACGTCTTTATAAAAACACATAGCTTATTCGTCTCATAGAAAGACCGTCTCTAATGATTAGCTCTAATTGGATTTTGTTTCCATGGATTTTTCCACATTTCCGATCCAGTGACCGCCGTATTTTCCCCTTTATTTCAATACTTTTCTTTCTTGTTTCCTTGCAGCCAATTATAATTTGATGTTCCAACTATAAATATATAACATACACAGAAAAAAAATGAAAAAGTGTATTTTTACTTTGTTTATGAAAATAAGTAATAGAGCAGGTATATTATATTTTTGGAAAACTCATGGCAAATAATCCAATTAAAAAAATATTTTAAGAGTCCATTTCACTAGTTCGAAAAAGTAACAAAATAAGCGTTTGGCATTTAACGTTTTATGTAAAACTGGCTAGGTATTTCTACACAAATGAAGAAGGAAATTAAAGATAAAGGATTATATTATACCCGTATTGTAGCACATTTTTAACTCACTCTACTTAACTCTGTTTTTAAGATTTTCATGGTCAAACATCAACAAAATATTCCTTATGTTTGGACTAAATTTTCTCGAAAATAAAGACATAATTTAAAATTCCCTTGCAATACGGAAATAGATTGAAGTTTTGTGATTACAGTGATAAATAATTTATATGGTTTTGTAATAAAATGGTCGCTATTTTATGGCAAATGCTGAAGCTCTGCAAAAAGGACGTGTGTTTGGAACTTTAGGTGTGGCTTAACACGACAGGATGGGGCTAAGACTTTCTGAAATATAATATATATTTCCTTCGGCCATACATCCACTTTACCCAACCCCTGAGGGCAACCCGAAAGTACAGCGTAATAGACTCTTAAGAATGGCAGCTTCTAACAAGAAACTAGTTATGCCACTGAATTCTACGTGAAAAAATAGATACGAGGGAACTCGAAAAATGGCAACAATTTTTAATTTGCCCTGTATTTCAAGAACTAAACGGGCTAGGACAAATCTGTGAGACATCTTTGTATCTCTACTCATACAAGATAAACGCCATAAAACACACAAAAATGTGACACACACTGTACAGGGTGGGTCAAATTCGACGCTTTTAAATGGAAACACCCTTTTCTGTAGAAGATAGACAAAAACTAATATCGGTGTCTGGAGCTCAATTTTTGTCAAAAACATGATGGCGAAAACCGCATACCGATATCTGTTACCGTTTCGGAGTTACGGGGTGTTTTTCAAAAATATGCATTTTTAACAAATCGCCGTAACTTTTTTGCTATGGAAAATTTTGTATTTTTATGAAAACATATCCAAAGCACCTTTTTACGTAGAATTTAATGGTTTAAGTATAATTTTTTTAAAATTAATAATTTAAGAATTATCAACAAAAAATTTGATTTTTTATATGGGACACCCTGTATATTTTTAATTTATTGAAAATAATTTAAAATTACCTTTCCTAAAATATAACATACTTGATATTTTGCTCGATTCCTCTTCGAGATATAGAGTATATAAAATTCGCCCGCTTTAAATAAGTAGGCTTTGAACGGCAGCGGCTGTAATGCAAAAAAATTTTAGCTGTGAGCATCAATTAAAACGAAAATAGTATTTGCTATGAGAGATGCAGAATTTTATAACAATTTAAAATATATTTAACCAACATCAACACTTTTTTTAACTATATCTAATAACAATAAAAATAAATAGCAAACCAAGACATGAGATTTTGCTATAGGTGTTCAACATATCAACCGTCTTTTGTTATGGACAGACGGGGCAGTTTTTGAACATTTCTCGCGGAATTCATTAACTCAGTAGGTGTGAAAGATATCCTCTCATAACTGCTAAGTATTTCTAATTCTTGTCTAGATTATACGGAAGAATAAGGAACCTTTATTCTTTCGCAAATATATCCATAGGATTAGATCCATGGGCACTAAAGTCAGGCGGCCTCGACGGCCAACGGCTGGGATCTTGGTTAGCTATTCAATTATTCTTGAAATTGGCTGCAAAAATTTGCTGATAACTTCAGCGTTCAGAGCCGGTGCGTCGTCTTGCTGGAAAAATATGTTTTCGAGTTCCATTAGAGGTATATCATCAATAAGGGGTCCAAAGCCTACTAGTTAAAAGTGGCGAACTTATAAAAATTCTGTATTTCGAAGGGGATTATAATAAAATATCAAGTGTGCTATATTTTTGGAAAGGTAATTTTAAATTCTTTTCAGTTAATTAAAAATATAGAGGGTGTCCCAAATAAAAAATCAATTTTTCTGTTGATAACTCTTAAATTATTAATATTAAAAAAATTATACTTAAACTAGTAAATTCTACGTAAAAAGGTGCTTTGGAAATGTTTTCATAGAAATACAAAATTTTCCATAGCAAAAAAGTTACAGCGATTTTTTAAAAATGCACATTTTTGAAAAACACCCCGTAACTCCGAAACGATAACAGATATTGATGTGCGGTTTTCGCCATCATGTTTTTGATGAAAATTGAGCTCCAGACACCGATATTAGTTTTCGTCTATCTCCTATAGAAAAGGGTGTTTCCATTTAAAAGCGTCGAATTTGACCCACCCTGTACAGGATGGCTCGAATTCGACGCTCATCGTTGGGATTTCGGAAACCGTAAGAGATATAGGATCGGTTAAATGGAGGCAAAGTTGCGCAATTTGATGCTCAATAAAATGCCGTATTCCATTTTTATTTTTAATTTTTTTTTGCATAAAATATTCTGGTGATGGAATTTGCTGTACCACACGTCGGCAAATATCAAAGTGACTATATATAGTGTTTTAAGAGTGAAGAAAGGATTTAATTAAGTTCAAATACTATATAATATAAAAAATATATAGGTCCGTATTTAAAAAAATTAAGTTGATGATGGTCGCCAGAAGCCAAAACGTCAGAGTCAATATTTAATCACACAGAGTTGTAGAGCAGAAAAAGTGGCCATAAAAATGTGTTTTTCATTTTAAGTTATCTTAATAAATAAAGCCAGAAAACAATAGAAAACAAAATTGAAAATTCCGGTTTTTTCGAATATATTCGGAAGTATTCGGAATTTTTCAAAATGCAATACGGCATTTTATTGACCATCAAATTGCGCAACTTTGCCTCCATTTAACCGATCCTGTATCTCTTACGGCTTCCGAAATCCCAATGATGAGCGTCGAATTCGAGTCACCCTGTACAGTTTTAGTATTTTATTTTGTTCTGATTTTAACATACCTAAACTATCTATTTTTTGAGATAGAACATTAATTAATAAAAAAAATTGTAGGATTTTTAGTCTTTCATTATATTTATTTTGATGTTTAAATAAAAATAAAATTCACCACGTCTTATTGCCTATTAATTTCCTTGTCTTTATTTAAAGAAATGTCTTTTCTTTGTGTAATTTAAAATAATTTCATCGAAAATCTAGCATCGACTAAGTAGAATTTATATTCTTTTTTAAAAGGCAATATCCCCGATCGTCCCACACAGCGCAAGACGACGGAATAATCTGCTGAAAGGGAGGAATTGCACTTGTAAAGCTTTACACAAAAGCAGAAACAATAAAGATACCCGAGGCAACAGAAGAGAAAATATAAAAAATATGCTTTTTATAGACTTCGCGCGTAAAGGTTTTGATTAGACACTTAATAGAAATAAAAATAGTGTTAAAAATCATGACGGAAAAGTTGCATGAGTACCAGGGTCTGGTAGGGCGCTTTCACCAGGTTCGGGATGATATTAAAGAAAAGTTCATTGCTTGGAAAGAGAATAGAAAAGCTCCTCATCAACAAAAGGAAGAGACAGATGATTTAGATGATTATTCTCATATATTCAGGTAAAAATTGATATTTGTAGAGTAATATGTAATTAACAATCAATTTATTTACTTATTTTTTGATAATTTGCTAATTATTATAATATATTTTTCCAGAAATTGGCTCTGAAGTTACAGTACACTCATTTGAATTCTTTTAATATCACTTTTTAATAATTATATGTAAAAAACTTTTCAGTTTAAAGTTATTTTCTATTTAAGAATTTCAGTTGTATGTGGAGTGCGAAAATTTTACAACTAGTTTTTCGCTAGGATATACCGGGTGCGTCTCAAAAGTAGCTCAATTCTATAACTTTTTATTTTTTTAGTTAAAAAACGATACTTGGTATGTTGGTATATGACATAAATTAGGATTGATTGACGTATTCAATTGTTTTTGGTCACTTCCTGTTTCACCGGAAATGACTACAAATTTTGATTTTTAAATGGCACCCTCGGTATATTTTTATTTTATTCGATAGAAAATGACACTCTGAATGGAATGACATATCGTATGTAAACTTTTGACATTTTCGCTTAAAAAATTGTATTTTAAATTTCAATGTAGAGTGCCATGGCTGTGTTAAAAACGCTAGTTTTTAATCAAGGAGCCTTGCAAAAATAGATTTGATCATCTAATGCTTTTCGTGTCTTGTCCTGGCCGGTTTAAAAAATGCACTAATCGTTTTTTTAATTATATCTCAAATTTTTCAAATGGTACAAGGGTGGCTTATTAGCATATTTGGAAAAAGCATTTTTTACGAATAATTTGGTACAACAGAGTTGGTATTTCGAGTCAAATAGTCGTTATGAACCGCATGTTACAATTTTAAATAAACCATATGCGAAAAAGTCAAAAGTTGACATATTATATGTCATTCTACTGAAGGTGCCATTTTCTATCGAATAATGTAAAAAAATACCGATAGTGTCATTAAAAACAAAAGATGTATTTATTTCCGACGAAACAGTGACCGTAAACAATTGAATAACTCAATCAGTCCTAATATATGTCATATATATTAACATACCAAATGTCGTATTATCAACTGAAAAAATAAAAAAAATTATAGTGGTGAGCCACTTTTGAGACGCACCCGGTATATTTTTTCACAACATTCCTGGATATGATATACGATTCCTTTAATATGCTTTTTTAAACTTTCCTAATGATTATTAAAATCTGATAACATGTTTTTTCTTATCTATATTTTTTTACATGGACAATTTTACAATTTTTTTAAAAATAACAAATTTTTTCAGAATACTCCAGCATATGATAACCCACTTCTTAATATGTTTTTATTCAAATACATATTTTCCTAGTATCCCTGTAACATCTCTTCTTATAAAAACATATTTACTTAAATATAAACCACTGAGATATTTTTCCGCGTATATACGTAGTATATATCAGGTGATGAACACTCAAAATTTATAATAACAAAATCACTATGCAGACTGACCAATAATTGTCTCCATATACAGGGTGTTTCAAAACAAATGCGAAAAACTTCAGGGGGTGATTCCTTGTTCAAAATAAAGGGTAGTTTGCTTCATTATACTTCATTATACATCTGCATCTGTTGTTTTAATTTATATATACTTCAAAGATGTTAAATAAAGGAGAGCGTTCATAATAGCTTCCCAAATATAAGTAGGCTCGTCTTCCTCAGCCAGATTCTCCTTTACTTTTGATGTTCTTTATTAATATAAAGTTCCATTTAATAATTTAAATGGAACTGTCGTGATAAAATTGATAATAAAAGTTGTTGTGTTTAAATTAGTTGATATTAATTGATGATATATCTTTATTATTCCTATTTTATATTATAATTATACACATATTGTTAGTGCTATTTTGTGAATATACAGGGTGTTTCAAAACAAATGCGAAAAACTTCAGGGGGTGATCCCTTGTTCAAAATAAAGGGTAGTTTGCTTCATAAACGTTGGGTCAAAAGTCAACCATTAGGGAGATATCGCGGTACAAAGATGGCGGAAAAATAATGTTTTTATTTTTTATCTTGAAAACTGAAAGAGATAGACTAATGAAATTTTATGGAAGCATTACTGTTATGAAAACACACTTTCTGGTAATTTTTTCACTTTTTTAAAATGAGTGGAAGGGGTTGAAATAAACTACCCCTATCATTCTTGTTAACGAAATTTAAAGAAAAATCTTATGAAACACATGCAAAAAAAAATAATTTGGATAGTTTAGTTTGTTTAGAAACGTTTTTATCTCTTGTATTTTTTTGATAAAACTCACCGATTTGAAATTAAAAAATAAAATGTAAAGTATTACATGTCAGGACAAAAAACATTTTTAGATTAAGAATCTAGTGATAATAACGATAATAATAATCATCTAGATAATAACGATTATTACAGTTGAGGGTTGGAACCTTTGGTATTACACAGCAAAATAAAAACACTAAATCACCACAATACACCAAAACACTTTTACTTTTACACTGGACGCGCGTATTGTGGTGATTTAGTGTTTTTATTTTGCTAGATAATAACGTATTGCAGTAGAGTAATGTCAAATAAAATAATATTAGGAACATCCTAAAAAGTAACAGCGGCCAACAAGATTTTTTCCTAAAAAAAATACAGCAGCCCACTAGATTCTTACTTAATTAATGATGCTTTTTTTCTAATTCTTAGAAGTCTAAGACATGAAAAAATAAAATGATCATGATTCTTAAACGCAAAGCCGATTTTTAGCGGAGGAAAGAAAATTAAAATCTTCTTTTTTTTAACCTTTGTGAAATATGTCACTCACTAAAAATTGTCAGAATATGTCTTTTATACTTCTTTACACTCAGGATTTTTTTAGAATTTTTTGAAGTGGTGGAACAATATGAAAAAAATTAAAAACTCAGTTTTTTCTAAAATCTTCAGTTTTAACTGACTTATATTTTTGTTTGGTTTAAAAAAGTGCGTTAGAAAACATTTTTTCATTAAAAATATATCCTTGCCAGAAACAACCATAAAGATTATTTTTAAAAAATGTGTCCGAGAAGATATTAGAAAAAAAAATAGTTTTTAATATTTTTCATATTGTTCCACCACTTCAAAAAATTCTAAAAAATTCCTGAGGTGTTCTAAAGAAGTATAAAAGACATATTCTGACGATTTTTGGTGAGTGACATATTCCACAAAGATTAAAAAATGAAGATTTTAATTTTCTTTCCTTCGTTAAAAATCGGCTTTTTATTTAAGAATCATGAATATATTATTTTTTCATGTCTCAGACTTCTAAAAATTAGAAAAAAAAAATCATTAATTAATTTTGAATTTTACTATAAAAATAAAAATAAAATTGAAAAAAAGTTTTTTTGAAAACCTCGAAAACCCTTTGAGATAAAGAGCTAAAAATTTGAGATTTGACACCAAATCGATCCCCTGAGTGCGAGTCAAAAAAGCCGCGGGACAGATTTCCTATATTAATCCGACTATACCCTTTGAACAATTTTGGGCAAGCCGTTTTTAACTAATTGCAATGCAAAGCCAGGCAACTGTCAACATGCCTTAGTCAATAACAGTAGTTTTTGTCAGAATCGGTGACTAAAATTCCCAATTTTCATGACCATATGCGTCGAAAAATGTATCAAAATACGTATTTAATTTTCTAGAAAGAAATCTCGAAAAGAACTCATAAGAACCTCTGCTGCCGTGATGGGCATAGAATTTTCCTACGCAGCAGAGACAGCCTTTGTTTCACCAACACTTCTCAAAATTGGTGTACAACACGAACACATGACACTAGTTTGGGCAGTTTCACCATTAATTGGCTTTTTCCTAACACCTATTTTAGGTTCCCTAAGTGATGGCTGTCGATTAGAAATAGGCAGAAGAAGACCCTTTATAATATGCCTCTCTATTGGTGTTCTTTTAGGAAAGTATCAATGCATTTATAAACAATATAATGACATTGAATTTTTCCTATATATTCAGGTCTATTTTTGGTTCCAAATGGTGAAGCTTTTGGATACTTGTTAGGAGATGAGGATCATACTAAAAAAACTTCAGAAGACAACAGTACTAGCTCAGAAATTCATACATCGCATCCATGGGGAGTGTTTTTTACAGTTTTAGGTACGGCGCTGCTAGATTTTGATGCTGATGCTTGCCAGAGCCCTGCCCGAGCCTATCTCTTGGATGTCACAATTCCAGGTACTTAGTTCCGATCATATTTTTTGATACTTATTATTTAAATATTCTTTAACAAAAAATGTATCAACTATTAGCTTCGTCGGTTGTTTAGTTTTGAGATTCTGTTCCATTCTAGTTTCACCATATATTTTACTGGATATAATATAATTTGTTTTATTATCCTTTACAGAAGACCATGCTCGTGGTTTGAGTACTTTTACCATAATGGCCGGTCTTGGTGGATTTCTTGGTTATGCCCTTGGCGGCATAAATTGGGACGCTACAGCTATAGGTATAAAAAAATTAATTTTACAAATGTTTTTACCAACAGCTACAACTCCTACACTCTTTTATTATTCCGGATTTGTCCTAAATTAAAATATTTAAAGATTTTTAAAATGAAATTTCTTTACGCGCGCTGGTTGTAAAAATTCAAGGCCATGGCACACGGGCTAGCGAGACGGCCGGTCGTGACACACGAGCTAGTGGTAACGAAAAGTGGTAACGGCTTAGAAATACGTAGTGACGCGACGTGTATTTGTGAGCAGTCCACGTGTTTATCAAAGATATTGATATTTTAATACAAAGTTTTGCGGAAAAGAATCAAATTATTTATTATTCTTGTATTTTACGCGTAAAAAACTATTTGTTACACGTAAAAAATTATTTTTTATGCGTAGAAAACTATTTTTTATGCGTAAAAAACTATTTATTAATAAAAATACTAATTTCCTATTGAAGCTAATCTTAGATCTTATTTAGGAACGAGCCTGAGGCTTGTATATTGTTGGCAAGTAATAAAATAAAAGCGAAGATACAAGTATAAACTCTAAATTATACATGCATTATACAGGGTGGTCCAAACTGTATTCCGGAAACTTTGGCAGCATATTCTGCATACATAATAATAAGTAAAAAAGTTCGTATAAATGTATGTCCTAAATTGCTTAGTTTTCAAGATATAGGGTGTGGAAGTTTCATTTTTATCTTGATTTTTTCCAAATAATTTATGAAGTAACGTCAACAATTGGATGAAAATTGGTGTCTGGGAGTTTTTTGATATGAGAAATTTGATTTTGTCATCAATATGACTTCTACTTGTATAGGGCGCCACCTACATACTTTTTAACTGGGTTGAAGAGTAATAACTTTTCGTCCGTACCTGTATAAAACTACTGAGTAAAAAAATATATATTTACGAAATTTTCTACGTTAAAAAGGTCTCTAGGTAAATTTCGCTACGAGTAATGTCATCGATGTAATGTAATCGAAATTATCAATACCTGTCATCATTGACAAATTAAACATGTTAGGTCTGTTCCCAGAAGAATTCCTGACTAGTCAGCACGTTTCTCATTGGTTAAAATGCATAGAAACCTGATTGTTAGTCTGGTTTTCACACATTTCAATCAATAAGAAACGCGCTGACTAGTCGGGGATTCTTCTGGGAACAAGGCCCTTGACTAATTAATTATTAGACTGAAATCATAAATTTGAAATGTTTTTGTGCCAAAACAGAAATTGTTTTATAATCATTTTTTTGCAGAAAAATTTATGATTAATTTTAAAAAAAATAAAAATTTCCCAAATTTATTATTTCAGTCAAATAATTATCTACTCATAGGGTGTTTATTTTTTATTCTAAATATCTTGAGAACGGTTCTTCGCAGCGATTTTTACCAAGAGATATTTTTTACGCAAAAAGTTGCGGAGATGTATATTTTTTCACTCAGTAGTTTTATACAGGTACAGACGAAAAGTTATTACTCTTCAAAACCGTTAAAACACACGTAGGTGGCGCCCTCTACAAATAGGAGTCATATTGACATAAAAATCAAATTTTTCATGTCAAAAAACTGTCAGACACCAATTATCATCTAAATATTGACGGTACTTCTGAAATTATTTGGAAAAAATCGAAATAAAAATGAAACTTCTACACCCTGTATCGCCGAAACTAAAGCATTTTTGGACATACATTTATACTAACTTTTTTACTTATTTTCCTCTAAAGAATATGCTGCCTAAGTTTGGACCACCCTGTATTACCTAAGTATCTTACGATTGAAGAGTCGTTTCATTATATTTATTTTTCATGTTTTTTTTTTGAAAGGATTATTATTAAACTTATTAAATTATTATTAACACTGCACAAGTAACTAACTTTTAGAAGTCTCTTTTTAAATTTCACAGTAAGAACGTAGATTCTATCTCTTCGCTCTTCGATCCTGACATAATGTCTTTCCAGTCTTACACACTTTGAATAAAACCAATTATAAAATATACAAGAAACAATAATAACATTTTAATTTATTTTATATAATTACAGGAGAGATGTTAGGTGGCCACGTCAGGGCAGTGTTCACATTAATAACCATAATCTTCGTGATCTGCGTATCATACACTGTCACCAGCTTTAAAGAAATGCCGTTAGATCTTCTACAACACCATCACACAAGCTTAAACATGGGAGGTTTCCGGAACGAGAGTTTTGAAAGTGAACACGACGATCTGGGGTACTCCAACGAAAAAACTTACGGCACACTGAACGATGTAATTTCCTCTTTGAATTTCTTAAATAATATTATAACAAAATTTTAAAAAAATAATAGGATGAAATGAAAGAGAGACACAACAAGCAACCCAGAATGAGCTTGGCACCAAATCCAAACGCTTCCTTGAGACACTACTTGAAGAGTATCATCTACATGCCAAGATCGATCAGAATGTTGTGCTTGACCAATCTTGTTTGTTGGATGGCTCACGTGTGTTATTCGCTGTACTTCACCGATTTTGTAGGAGAGGCAGTGTTTGATGGGGATCCACTAGTAAGTACATGTTCTATTATACACAAAATACACACAATATACAGGGGGTGATAAAAACAGTGTTCCGAAAAAGCTTTATATAAAGATTTTACTTGGAATGTTTCCTCCAATCATTTTTATAAAATATTCAAGTTAGTTGTAATAACAACAAATTATTTTCATAGATATACAGAATGGTTCAAAAATATTTTTTATAATAAATCTGTGTTGCATATTTATGGAAATAAATCTGTTTGTTACTGTTACTTTGGGTTACACTGTATAGGCTCCAGAATTTACCGAATCCAGAGAGAGATATGAAGCAGGCGTCAGATTTGGCTGTTGGGGAATGTCAATGTATTCACTTTCGTGTGCCTGTTACTCCACCATCATCGAAAGACTGATATCCCGATTTGGGTAGGTTCAAATTAACAATGTTATCTTTTTTAATATATTGTTATTGGTAAATTTCAGAGCTAAAAGAGTTTATATAGGTGGATTATTGACTTATTCAGGAGGAATGTTCCTTATGGCACTTACAAAGAATAAATTTGGAGTTATTTTATTTAGTTGGACGGCTGGAGTAATGTACTCAACTTTATTTACCATGCCGTACTTGTTAGTAGCACATTACCATGCCAGATCAACGGTAAATGGATTACATACATCATACCCTCTAAATTATTCACACATTATTCATAAAGTATTCATAATTCATAAAATTATTCATACATCAGTCATACATCATTCATACATTATTCATACATTATTCATACATTATTCATACATTATTCATACATTATTCATACATTATTCGTACATTATTCATACATTATGCATACATTATTCGTAAATTATTAGTAAAAAAAATTATGCATTTTCGTACTAAAATTGACATTTAACGATTTTTAACTTTGTAGTTTGACACCATGGATAGAGAAGGCGATAACAACCCCCCACCACAAATCAGAGGCCTAGGCACCGACGTAGGTCTAGTCTCCAGCATGGTATTCCTGGCCCAATTTATTTTATCACTCTGTATGGGTACCATTGTTACTGTTTCCGGTACCACCACTGCCGTAGTGAGTGTAGCATCGGTTTTAGCCTTTTGCGGAGCAGGCGCCGCAACTCAAATCATGTATTTGGATTTGTAGATTTTATTGATTTGAATAAATAATAGGGTATGTTGAAAAGAACATTAGTATTATTTATTAATTGATTTAGATAGTTCTAGTGAATGTTATTTTGCTATTAAACCACATGAAATATACAGTTTTGGTAAGAGAGAGTCTTGGGTCAGAATTTACAACATGTGTAGGAGTGAATCGCTATGGCAACGTTGTAAGTCGGAGGAAGAAAAATACGTGTTTATTTCATGTGCTTAAGAAAATAATACTTGTACTGTTTTCTTTCTTTAATACATCTTATTGTACTGAACACACTGACTGTACTCTTCGTACACACAACAATTGGCACCCAAAGCCAGTCATTGCCAACCGTGTATAGTATATTACAATATAATAAACTGCCACGACATAAAATTAAATAATCGGTAATAAAATAAGTAAATGTATAGTCTACCGCACTTGCCAAAATATTTGAATATCATTTAAAAAGTAACGCCTGTCTAAATGTTTCCAGCCATGCCAGAGGTGTGCCAAGAAATATAAATGACCAAAAGTTTGTTTATATTTATTTTCAAGAAAGACGCTACAAAATGATTTCAAATATTATTGTAATAAATATATTTTTATCTCTTCATAATTAAATCATTCGCGTGATATCTAAATGGGAATTAATTTAATTGGTTACATAAATCTTCAAAATATTCTGCTGTTGTTATTTTTGAAAAACACAGTATCTCGAAATTTAATCTATCGCTAATTATTAGAAAAGTTTGGGAATATTAAAAAAAATGTTTTGAGCTAAATAGCATATTTTAACAGTTTTTCATCGATTAGTTTCTGGCCAATATCAATAAATTTGAAATAAAAACAATAAACTCTATAATATAGATGGTAATGATCTTTATATACAGGGCTTTTCAACACACACTTTTTTAGGATTTTGTTTAGATAAGAATCTGGAGATTAAAGATATTTTCTGGTGTACTTTTTAGACTCTACAGAAACCTCTAAACATATTTTGTGTACGGATCTACAATTTTTAACCGCTTCTCAAATATATATACAGGGTGAGTCTTAAATAAGTGCAAATATTTTTAGGGGTAGTATATAAAAAAAATCAAAATTTGGAATTTTTTGAAACAAATTTTAGAAATTAAATATTTTTTATTTTTAGTTAAAAAACATAATATCTTCATAATATGGCAACATAGATAGTATAATAAATTTACAAGAAAGAAAATCCGGAAAAGATCCAGTTGTTCTGAAAATTTAGGCAAAAAATCATTTTTTTGATTTATTTTGGGACTTATTTCAAAAACGGTAAAGAGAAAATATGTTTCTTTTATTGAGATCTACCAGCCCTGAAAATATTTGCACTTATTTAAGACTCACCCTGTATATTTTTATTAATATCTTTTTTTCATCGGTACTCTAATGTAGTAAATACTGTTTATAAAAAAGTCGCTATAAAATGACAGCGATTGATTACCAATATATTTATGTACAGCTTATTCATAAGAAGTACAATATGACTGAAAAAAACCGGCGTCAGCGATGGCTATGAAATAAAGACCGCTGTCATTTTATATGTAAAATTATATGGGAAATGTCATCGATAGTCATTTCCAAGGCAACTGGATACGCCAACTAGTTATGTCAATTGGTACTGAGCTCCATTGAAGCTAAGCCATAACCTAAGCTTAAAAAATGGAGACTGAAAAAACATTTGAAAAAACAATGACTCATGACCAGTGATGGGCAGTGAGTAAGTACCCAATAGGGCTAATAAAAAAGTTTGGGTATATACCTAGTATACACCAGAAGGTGTAGGGTATATCAAAGAAGAGGGTATATACCTACCTACGCCAGGATTTTTTCAAAATAAAAAATAGAGGAGTCGAATGTAAAAAAAACAGCACAGGCGAAAAAAGAACAAATTGTTCATTGTGTCAAGAATTTACTCAAAAGTTATATAAACGTATACGGGATAATGGTCTTTTTACTTTCTTAACGCATCCACCAAGACTTCTTTTTCGTAAATATATTTTTATATACTATTGTGATGTCTTTATGGGGTAAGATATAACAACAAATTGTTAACATTTGTTATAATATGTTAAATTAACTAAATAAACGTAATTGGGTATATAGAGTAGGTATATTGTATTTATATTGTTGGGTATATTGTATTTACCCAAATTCAAAGTACCCTGTATCTACCCAAGTATCAATATAGCTGGTAATATATATAATATATAATAATATGGCAAATATCAAAATACAACTTGTTGCTTTTGTATACCTATATCTCTGTCATATTTATAAAAAAAATCTAAAAACAAGAAAAATTAAAAACGTTCTACAGATAGGCACTGTATTTTTCTCGTTGTGGAAATCAAACTTTTTATATTATTTTAAATTATAAGTAGTATTCCTTTAATATTTTATGCAAAACAAAAAAAATATTTACAGGTATATTCAGAAAAGAAATATCAATATATTAGTTAAATTAACTTCTAGGTTCTCCTATATAGAATAGAATATAAATCATCTATTTCGCTACATATACATATTATAAAATCCAGCTCAAAAATAAACGATATAGAAGAAAAAAACTTCAAACATAGTTCGCTTACATGCTATTATATTCACTGACCATCGTCTAAATCTTGCAGTACTTCTGACTCGAAAGGCGTACAAATTTTAATGATTATATCGGATCCAGCCCATGCCACTGCCGATTTTACATTTCTCTCTTCCGATTTGATCATCACTAGTCCAAAAATTCAATTTATTAACAATTAAGGGAGTAAAAAATAGTATATAGTATTGTTCAAGTAGGGTACGCGTTTAAATTCACTTGAATCCTGCTCATTCCGGCGCCAGGATTAAATATTAACAAACGTAGCGCGGGAAATTGAAACCGAAACCGCCAAATATATAGAGAAGCGCAGAAACAATAACAACTGAATTACGGGTAGTGTCCAGGACTGATTATCGATACGTATGGAAGGAACTAAGGACGAGAATGGCTAAAAATACTGGCTTGGGACGAGGAACGGACATGCGATCGCTAGAAACCGGTTAAAACTGGAAAACTACGGAGCGTTTATGGAAAAATTCAGTTGAGATTGTTCCAAGAAAGCCGTATCGGAAACCTCAACGATAAATCTCACCGGAGTAAGATATTCTGGCAAAAATTCCACGATTTCGTGGTTAATTTAAAGCTATTTTCATTCCGGGTGTTTTACGAGCAAACGGGGATTTTAACGAACTTATTTGTAATGTTTCTTTGCCAAAAAACAATGGAAAACAACATTAATTTTATTACTGGCGATTTCTTCGGTATTTTAAGTACTGTTTCTATTATTATCACATTTACTCCTACGTAAAATAATATATAGACAATATTTATACTAAAATGCTATAACTCAGTTGTAAAATATGTACATTTAAAGAAAATTTCATAAATATAAACATTTTTTATTAAAAATTATTTTTTCTTATGCAACCAGACATACAATTTCTGAAAAGTTTGATGACAAAATGGTGAAAATAAAAAATATCAGATAACCTAAAATTGTTAGTGTGTAAATCTTACAAACATGTCTTTAAAACCGCAAACAAATATATTAGAACTGTTCGAATCAAAAGATCTAGTTAAAATATGCGCTCCAATGGTGCGATATAGTAAGCTTCAATTCAGAAACCTCGTAAGACAGTACGATTGTGATTTAGTATTCACTCCTATGATCTTGGCTGATTCCATTTGCAAGAGCTCTAAAGCGAGAAATAATGAATTTACTACTAATTTGATGGACACTCCTCTGGTAGTTCAATTTGCTGCAAACGAAATTCACGATTTTGTAGGCGCTTCTTACTTGGTTGCTCCTTATTGTGATGGAGTTGATTTAAACTGCGGATGTCCACAAAGGTGGGCTAAGGAAATGAAACTTGGTTGTGAGATGCTGAAAAACCCTCAAATAGTTTATGATTTAGTGAGACAATGCAGAAATACTATACCTAAACCTTTTACAGTTAGTGTTAAAACACGAATCTTGAAAGACTTGAAGAGAAGTGTAGAAATAGCTCGACAGTTAGAGCATAGCGGTGTCAGTTTTTTAACAATACATTCAAGATATCCGGAGGATAACTGTGGCCCAATTAACCAAGAAGCTTTGAAGAATATTTGTGAAAGTGTTCAAGTTCCAGTTGTTGGAAATGGAGGACTAACAACTTTAGAAGAATGTTACGAATTAAAAACAAAGACTGGCATCAAAGGAGTTATGGTAGCTAATGGTATATTGACAAATCCAGAGCTGTTCTCTGGATCTAACAAAACATCCCTACAGTGCATTCAAAAGTGGCTGGATATATGTTACAACAGTACTCTAACTTCAACAGAATATAATTCAACAGAATATTATGGAACAATTCATGAAAAACCTCATAATTTGACATTCCAGTGTTTCCACCATCATTTAGTTTTTATGCTAGAAAAAGTATTGACCAGGAAGCAAAGAAGGGTGTTTAATAATTTTAAATGTTTTAAACATGTATTAATATTTTTAAATGAACATTTAGGCATTAAACCACAGTTATTTACTCCAGAAACATTTAGTAGATATAATTCATTAGATACAGATTATAGTGGACGAGAGGTATGTTATAATGAACTAAATCCAAGCAAAAATACGTGTAATATGAAGCCTCAGCATGATTATTTGGCTACAAGCGGGAAATTTTTTAATTCAAAACAAAACGTAGATAATGTAGATGTAGATAGTCACTGGTCTGATATATTTGACGAAGCTGACTAATAAGAAAATGTTTTTTCTCTTTGTATTTAGTATAACGTCTGTTAGCTAAGATTATAATCGATAGTTAATTGCAGTCCTGTGATAATATTTTTTAAAAATATTTATTAATTTTATTTATGTACTAATATATTTTATGGATGACCAATGGCAAAATAATAAAATCATAATAAAATACATAAATTTCTTGCATAAATTTAAATTTAAGATGTTTGATATTTTGACTTCGCGGGTTTTGTCATTTAATTTTTATAAATCTGTGGTCAAAAACATTTCTTCTTTTTCGATTTTCAGGCGTCAATTGTTAATCATATTTTTTTTAAGTATATGGTTAATGGCTACAGCTGCCAGAGCTATCTGGTCTGTCATATTTTTTAAATTAATTTAAAGGCTTAAGCTGCTAGGAATATCCGACACTCTATCCACTCTCTAATTTGTCAATCTGTGGTTTGTAAATTCTTCTTTTTATTTTTTGAAGTACCTTTCGTTAATCATATTGATCAACTCACCTGTTATCTATGATATTGACTGTGTTGTTTAAGATTTACTCTATGGATTGATTTTGTTTGTATTTACAATTTTTTTACAGATTTAAATTGCTAAAATTGTATTTTAACTTTGAATGAGAATAAGTTACATAATTATAGTAAGTAATAAATTCTAGTTTCAACGTTGTATTCATTGCACTTTAATTTATAGCACCAGTAGATATGAAATTGTTTAGAGGCTTGATGAGCAGCGTAAAATTTAATCTAAAACACCAACCGGTTTTAGAGAGCACCAATGAATTATCAATACAGCTAGATAATAGCACCTTGGCCACTATTTCATTCGTTAAAGTTGATGAGAACACCTACGATTTAGTACACACATTAATACCAGAACAATTGCAAGGGCAAGGTTTAGGGCAGCTTTTTGCAGAAGTATAAATAAAACTAACAAATTCATTAGATTTCAATTAAAATATTTGTTTTTAGAGAGTTTTTGACCATCTTCTACAACATAACAAACAGTTAAAATTGACTTGTGAATTCCTTCAACACTTCTACATAAAAAATCAATCAAAATACAAAGGGCACGTAATTGAGGATTTCGATCTAGCATAAAATGGAACACTCAGATTATTTTGCCAAAATATTCTACCATTTCCACCACAAATACTTCAATTTTATGCTAAACAATTCGAAAGAGGCTATAACAAAATATCCCACCAATGTAGCCTTTAAACTATATCATTCATTAGCCCTAATTTTAACAAACAGATTAGAGGAAGCAATAAGGGATCTAGAAGGCATTAGAGAAGAACAAGATGTTAAATTATCAGCTACCATAGCTTTAATGTATGGCCACAAAATGCTAGGTATTGCAGGCAGAGATATTTTTGCAACTCTAGATACTCAAATGAAGGATTACCGAAAAACTGCACAATGGCAAGATTTTTATTACTCGGCTTTTGTCTTACTATCCTTAAGCAAACCAGAGAAAGCTCTGGATTATGTTGAAAAAGCTTTAGCATTGACCATTGAGCCAGAGACATTGGCATTAAAAGGATGGTTATTACTGATAACCAGATCTAATGCCAAGCAAAATGCTTCTACTATACGTGCAATATTTTCTAATGCCTTACAAAAGAATTCTAAAGATATTCTAGCTATTTTGGGTTACACAGAATGCTGTTTGCTGACTGCAGAATTCGCTGAGGCACTAAATTCAGTTAATCAGGCTATAGTAAGATGCCCCAATACAAATTTGGCACTGCTTCAGAAAATGAGGATCTTCTTTGCTGCACGTGATTGGGATCAAACTATTGAAACACTCAATAGGTAAGATATAATTTCTAATGATAGACATTCATTTGAATAGTATAATAAAATCTTTAAGATCCAAGACACATACAGAGTTATTATAAATATATGTATATTAAAGTTAATCATGTAAAATTAAGAATCTCAAAAAAGTAATTTGTGATAAAATGGTGATCCCAGCATTGGCAAAATCAGTCAGATTGAATCCTTACAAGTAATTATTATTGTTAATATTTATACTTTTTTCTATAGTACATTTCATAAAAAAAAGTTATATATTTTTTAGCAAATTTTAATGTTTTTTAATACACATGGATTTTATAATCTATTAATTTTTATTTTATTACTTTTTATCTGTTATTTTTATTATGGGAATCTTTGAATAAAGTTGAATCGAGAAAGCATTTTTATCCTTTGACAATACTCAAAAAAAAATTAAAATCAGTATGGTGTACCTATAGTTATTTAGTGTTTTTATTTTATATGTAAAAATACAGCTTATTTCAGTTTTTAACGCTAGTTTTGGATAAATATGTTCTAAATGTACTGTTTTAAAATAAATTAGTCTAATTTGGAGTATATTAATATATATTAACCTATTTTGGAGTTAGTATGCAACCAGTAATACAAGTTTATTTGAACTAATTTGGGAAAAGTTTTTTTTGTTTTTTTTTTGCTCATGTTAGGTTTTGGCAATTATAACATTTTAATGTAATTTTCCATAAGAATTGTTATTTCTTTCAATATATACAGTATGTCCCCGGATTGCCTTTACAGCAGGAAAAACTTTTTTATTATTTTCATTTTGAGAAAAATGCATTCTTCATAAAAATTTGTGCTCTTTCTAAAATGGTTAATTTCGTTTATAATTTTTCAAATTTTTCTACCGTTTTAGAGAAAATAAAAAAAAAACATGAAAATATGGTCGAATTTTTTCCTAAAAATCAAAACGCGTTTAATATAATTTCGTTTGCATTCTTTGGTAGATTGTTATTGATAAAATTTTAATTAACGTCATATTTTTTGCTGTTTTAAAATGTTAAGAAGCACAAAATTTATTAGTCCAATACTATGGAAAATGGAAAGGAATTGGTGATAATAGTTATCGAAATTATATTCAATTTCATTATATGTAACAAATACTGTATGATCAAAAAAATCTGCATCAAGTTAGCTTTGAAACGACGATCGGTGACATGCACATAATTTTACGTATAAAGTGACAGCGATTTTTTATTTCCAATTCAGTTTTAACGTCGTTTTTTTATTGCATGGTACCCTTGATGGTACTATACAATCCCAAAAAATGTATTCCAGCGTTGTCTTGGAAACGAAGATATCTGTCATTTTATTTGTAAAATTATAAGAGGAATATGACAGAATATAAGAGGAATATGACACATCGATCGTCATTTTCAAGCCAACTTAACGCCGTTTTTTTTTTCGATGATAAGGTTTAATCATAGAGAAAGGTAATAAAATTTTTTTATTACCTTTCTCTATGGGTTTAATCCAACACATTTTTTTGCAAAATCAGCAATATTTAAGATTTCACAAAAAATTGTTTTGTATAAGAGGTATTTTAGGAAAAAAACATTTTTTGTGTATATATTTTTATTTTTATAAAAATCTCCACAAACAATTTACTGGTTATATTAATTTATTTACTATCAGTACAAATAATTTGGCAGTAAGAATCTTATAAGCACAGATAACATAATTATTTTTATTACCAATCTTTAAAAAATCATTGCATATTGATTCTTATTTTACAGATTTAACGTAACAGACAGCGAAATTCTATACGCTCTCAAATACGAGATTTTGATAATCCTATGCCAATCGGGAAACACCAAAGATGGCGCGACTAAAATAAAAATATTCCACGACGCTTTGAAAAAATACGAACCCAACAACTCTATCGCTTTCACCGAAGCAGCCAAACTATTTTCAACAGCTTGCGCTAGAAATGAGACCGTTTTAAAGCAATGCATCTTTATTTCTGAGTCTGCCCTTCAAATTGACTCAGACACTGCTTCGGTAGTGGTCAATTTAGGATTCCAAATACTTCTTGCCGGTAAAACCAAAGAAGCAATCAGATTGTTTAAGTCCGCCACTAAACTTGATGAAACTTGCTTTGAGGCACTTCTAGGCCTGTCTTGGTGCGAATTTTATGAGCACGGTTGCTCAGAACAACTTCAACGACAAATAGAGTATCTTTTAGAGCTGAACGATTCACCAACCTCGTTGTCTTTAAAGTTTCTACAGGCTCGAGCTTCTAAAACTCAGTCAGATGCATTGGTTCACCTAGAGCATGTTTATAACCACAAAAAACTTCTCTCAAAGATATTTTACTATTCCGAAAGATACTTACTGGAACTGGATCCAGATTTTTGTCTGGAAGTCGTACAAGAGTACCTGGAACGTGCCCCCAACAAAGACCAGGCCTTAGATCTGGCTAAAATGATAGCAGACGCATGTCCAGGCTCGCCAAAAGCTTTGTACTTGCTGGCAAGAGTACTTACTTCACGAGGTGATCAAACTTCTGCTCTAAATATTTTGGAAAAGCTTTCAAAAGTTTCAGATGAGAGTTCCAGTGATGCCAGTCTTTTACAGGCAGAACTTCAAGTTGATACCGGGCAGTACGAAAGAGCTGCTCAAAGTTTGGAGGCTTGTATCAGCGTGAACTTCCAAGTTAGAGAAAATCCGCAATATCACTACGTCAGTGCTCTGGTAGATAAAAATTCTCATAACTACGCCGAAGCTATCCGAGCACTTACAACAGCTCTAAGTCTGGTTAAAGAGAAGAAATCATTTTTAACGGAAAAGACAGCTATTTATGTTGAATTGATCGATACACTAAACATTGTCGGTCAAACTGACGAGTCGTTGAAAGTTTTAGAAGAAGCAGCAGAAGATTTGCGTGGGAGTCCGGAAGAATCTAGAATTCTTCTGTTAAGCGCTGATAACATGCTGGCCAGGAAGAATATTCAAGGTGCTATAGATCTGCTTAACAAAATAACAAAACAGGAAGACTGTTATCGGGCAGCTAAAATAAAACTTGCCGACGTGTTTTTAAAGTATCGCAAAGATAAGTACGCTTTTTTGCAAATATATCAGGACTTTGTGGATGAAGATCCTTCAGCTTCGTCATATGTATTACTGGGCGATGCTTTCATGAAAGTACTTGAACCTGATGAGGCTTTGGAAAACTACGAGAAAGCTTTGAAAGCTAATCCGAAAGATCCAGCCCTTACTTTGAAAATGGGAACAGCCTTGGTGGAAACTCACTACTTCAATAGAGCTGTAGAGTACTACAAGAAAGCTATCAAGGACAGTCATTCAATAGAACTGAAACTACAACTGGCTGATTTGTATCTGAACTTGAGGGAGTACGAAAAAGGGGAGGTTTTGCTACTGAACGAATTAGAAGAGAACTCTTGGAAGAGTGGTGAGGAACTGGTAGATATAAGATTTAAGGCTCAGCTGTATCAGCTACTGTCTCAGCTACAGGAGAAGTCTGGGAACTTGACTTATGCGGTGAAAAGCTTGAAGGATGCGATGGATTGCCAGATGAGAGTCAAGAAAAGAATGTCAGTAGAACAGAACGGTAAGTTCTTGTCTATAAAATACAGGGTGTATATACTCATATACAGCGTGTTTCAAAAAATAGGTGCCATCTCTCGTGGGGAGATTCCTCACGTAAAAATAAGATTTATTTTGCATGTCAACATGGGTCCGATTCTGCTTTGTTCCGTAGCTACAGGGTGTTAAAGGGTGTTAATATATTTTCGATTTATTATAATTTTCTTCCAAGTACTTTAAGTACTTCCAATTTTCCTAATTTTCTTCCAAGTACATCAGGGACGTGCGCATGGGTTATCAGTGGAATATATTTCTAAAAAAGCATGGACGCCACTGACTTTTTTCTCTTGCTTACGAAATAGTGTAAGCAGTTTAATGCCGCTTAAAAATTGTCTCTTGATATTTTGTCGATTTCGGTCTCCTTGATGAGATAAACGCAATTTTATTAAATTGCCGTGATCCAAGTCTAATAGCAACCTTTAAAAAAAATGAATATAATTAACTTGCGAAAGTTTTAAATAAGTACCCATTGATTCCTCATCAAAAAATATGAAAAAAAGTTCCTATAAATATGGGTATGGAAATGCATAGTTTTAGAATTACAGGATGTTAAAACTTGTTAAAATTAGTTTTTTTGTAATTATCTTAAATACCATTATTTGTTTATTTAAAATTGCTGTATGTTGGACTAATAGTAATAATAACTAATAGTAATAATATAAAAATTAATAATAAATTAGGTAAAATATCTAATTTATTAATTTTATTTTAATTTTATTAATTGTAATTAAGAAAATTGCGTTTATCTCATCAAGGAGACCGAATTCGACAAAATATGAAAAGATAACTTTTAATTGGCCTTAAACGGCCTACGCAATTTTGATATCAAAGGAAAAAAGTCAATGGCGCACATATTTTTTTTTTAAATAGTCCAGTGTTGACCCATATGCACATCCGTGATGCATTTATCGACACTTTTCTAGCATTAAAATATGTAGCACTTATAGTAACTTTTACCCTTAAAATTTCATTCAAATCACTAAAAGAACTTGGATGAAAATTATAATAAATCGAAAGACTATTAAGATTTTAACACCCTTTAGCTACGAAACAAAGTAGAATCGGACCTATGTTGATATGAAAAATAAATCTTATTTTTACGTACGGAATCTCCCCACGAGAGAGAGGAACATGTTTTTTGAAACACCCTGTATATTGTTAAATACATTTTTTCCAGGTAATACTGAAGAGGTCGACCAAATTTTAGTAACACTTTCCACAAAACTGGGTGAAATGGCATTGTCAATGAAGAATTCTGAGCAGGCAGTTAACTATTACAAAGATGGTTTGTTGGTATCCCCTAATAATGTTTCCTTATTGACCTCCTTAGCCAAGCTCTATATGCAGACGAATTATTTGGAGTTGTGCCAACAAACATGCGCTACCATATTTAGGATCGATCCAGAGAATGAAGTGGCTTCTGTGATGATGGCAGACATTGCTTTCCGAAAGGTATATTATATTTTTATTCTTCTATTTCAGAAAAACACTCTGTGTGACAATTGAACATGACTGAAGAAATCGGTACATGTATATTATTTCGTATATTTTTCATTTCATTGATTTTATGGAAAGCACTGTTCATTAAAATGTTGTATCCTATGTTATAGGGCTTGTTTCTCTCTACAATTTCCTGTCTCACAAAGTACCGTTTGTGTCCGGGAAGGGTTTATAGTTTCATAGTTGTCGATTTTCGAAAGAAATCAGTACATGTATATTACTTCGTATATTTTTCATTTCATTGATTTTATGGAAAGCACTGTTCATTAAAATGTTGTATCCTATGTTATAGGGCTTGTTTCTCTCTACAATTTCCTGTCTCACAATGTACCGTTTGTGTCCGGGAAGGGTTTATAGTTTCATAGTTGTCGATTTTCGAAAGAAATCAGTACATGTATATTATTTCGTATATTTTTCATTTTATTGATTTTATGGAAAGCACTGTTCATTAAAATGTATCCTATGTTATAGGGCTTGTTTCTCTCTACAGTTTCCTGTCTCACAATGTACCGTTTGTGTCCGGGAAGGGTTCATAGTTTCATAGTTGTCGATTTTCGAAAGAAATCAGTACATGTAATTATTTCGTATATTTTTCAGTTTATTGATTTTATGGAAGCACTGTTATTCAGTAGGTATTCTTCTGGTATTCTTCATCAGATTACATTAGATTTACTTTGAATGTGGTAGGCCATGATTCAGTATTAAAACTAAAAGACTTTCGGACTTCCATTAGCGGTATTTATTTTTTTGCTTACATAACGTTTCGATCAGAAATATCACTGACCATTATCAAGTGTGAACTAAACTAAATCCCAAAACTCCTGAGCTTATATGAGGGGTTCAGAAGTGAACTGGATCAAGTTCTAGAAGATAATTATGGAGAAAATGAGAGTTAAAGTTTTTTAATGATACTTAGTTAAAATAAAACAAGCTGGAGAAGAAAACTTGACACAATGCTTTATTATATTTTAAATTGTATAATTGTACTTGGATTGCTAAAGATTTTATTATGTAAGGTAATAAAATCTTTAGCAATCCAAGTATAGCAATCCGTCAATCCCTTCAACACACTTGTCTAGAATTGTCCTTCGTGGAACCAAGTAACTTTAGCGCTGCTTGGCTGTTTGTAAAGATGGTCACTGAACGTCGTGTGATGAACATACATAGAAAAATAAGATACACATACCCGAAAAGGAAATAGAAATACATTTTATATAATCTCGATGTATTTATTATTCCCAGGTTGATTTTGACATGGCTCTATTTCACTTCAGCCAACTTGTATCAAGACAACCCACCAACTGGGATGCTTTAAGCAGACTAATTGAGGTTTCACGCAGGTTGGGCAACTTAGAGGAATGCGAAGAGTACATAAACTCTGCCGAGAAAATGTGCGTGAATCCCCAAAAGGAGCCAGGTATTGTTTAGTCTCAAATCATATTGTTTTTCAATATTATAATGTTTATTACAGGTTTTCTCTACTGCAAAGCCTTCTACCAATGGCATTCTGGCAACTTGAATGCAGCGCTTAAGAATTTTAATCAGGTCAGGCAAGATGGCAAGTTTGGTGTCCAGTCCTTGATGGCAATGATCGAGATATGTCTTAATCCTGATGATGAGATGCTGGCAGAACAGTTTATTGAGAGTGACGATATAGAGTATAGAGACTCCAGATCTTTGGCTTTAAAAACAGGTAAGAACTGATGAATAATCCTATTCAGTAATTATTATATCTTTATTCAGCTGAGAGACTCATCAAGGAGCTACGCCAAAGATTCGAGGTTGACGGAGGTGATCTCTTCAAATGCCGTCTTCTAGCCAACTTTAGACTTCTAGCTACCAAAGAAAAATACAACATCGAAAGGGCTTTAGACGATTTTGTTTCTATAGCCTCCCAGTCAGCCACCAAAGACAACCTTGGCACCATTCTAGGCATTTCGACAGCCCACGTGCTTCTCAAACAGCAACAACGCGCCAAAAATCAACTGAAACGAGTAGTTAAAAACCCGTGGACCTTCGAAGACGCTGACTACCTAGAACGATGCTGGCTTCTTCTAGCAGACTTGTACGTTCAGTCAAACAAGTTAGATTCCGCCTCAGAGCTGATCAACAAGGTTGTGCAGTATAACAAAGCTTGCACCAAAGCGCTGGAGTATTCTGGTTATATTGCTGAAAAAGAACATCGGTATAAAGAAGCAGCGAATAATTATGAAGGTGCCTGGAAGACTGGAGGTAGGACTAATCCTGGGGTGGGTTACAAGCTGGCTTATTGTCTGATGAAGTGCAAGAAGTACCCTCAGGCCATAGATACAGCCAATGAGGTGTTGAGACTGAGTCCGGATTATCCTAGTGTGAGGAAAGACGTTTTGGATAAGTGCATTAATAACCTTAGGATCTAAGCTTTAAAATAAATTTATTAAGGGTTTTAGTTTGTTTTATTTGTAGTTTTTGCTAGTTCTTTGTCGTTCTCTAGACGATTTTGTTTCTACAGCTTCCCAGTCGGCTAAAAAAATGTCAAGATGACCGGCTGGTACTGAATAAGTTGTGCTCAGTCTCAATTTTATCCAAATAAAAAAAAACATTGTATTATTAAGTTACGAGTTTTATTACAACATAAAATATATACAATATATTACAAAAAAAACGTTTTCTTATCGTCGGGTATTTTCCTGTTGGGTCTGACTGGTCAAATTCGTCTCATCCACTGTGGGAACCCCGAAAACCAAAGGGGAGTAGTAGGGGGGAAACAACGCCGAGTACTGTGGCGCTGCGGAAGGTACGGGTGCGAAGTAATGCGGGGGAAACAAACCCTGTCGTTGCGCCATCTTGAGGCGCGTCGTGAGCTGTTTTTTCCATTTTGTCCGTCTGTTCTGCAACCAAAAATAAATAATAATAATACTTTATTTTGCATGATTACCCTCTGCAACAAAACTAGTATAGAAAAAAATATAAAACAAAAAAATCATAGGAACTCAAGACAAGCAAAAATATAAGGATGAAGTTTTTTCCGGATTTTTTTTAAATGCAGCTCTCTGAAGGTTCATTTTTATCGGAGTTATCTTTTCAACCCAAAAAGGTTATTTTACAGAAAGTTTTAACATTTACCTTACCTGAAACCACGTTTTTATTTGTACTTCTGTCAGATTTAAAGCTTTTGATAATTCCATCCTTTTGCTGACGCTGAGATACTTGTCAACTTTGAATTCTCCTTCCAATCGTTCCAATTGTTTGGCACTGTATGCCTGTCTGGGCTTTCTATCCAGTCCTGGCTTCCTGGATCTCCGATTTGTGGGCTTTGGAACTGAAATTTAGAGACTGATTTAATGCATACATTTTTCTTTCGTACATATGTATTTGATACTAGGCTTTAATAAAGATCATTTTGATGCAAAAGATTGAAATCGAGATAACATTATCTTATGAGAGAGCAAAGAGCAAAAATAAAAATTGACGCCGGGAGGCACGTATAGCCGCCCATACTAAATTAATAAAAAGTTGGTAGGCAGTTCTTTTAGTTTCAAAGTAAAGGAATTTTATATTTAATATTTTATTTTTATTTTATATTTTATTTTACAAAATCGTCAATGTGTGACTGTAAATTACAGTATCCTATTTTACGATTTCTTTTTTCGATCGTACGATAGAGTCCACGGATTATCTTTACAAGAGGACAAACTTTTTTATTTTTTATATTAACATTTTGACCAAAACCGCAAGACCAAGACCAGTCTCGCGCAATACTACATAGAGATACGCCACTGTCTCCTGACTGCGGATTCCCTCGAATCGTCAACCTATGTACCTTCGCGTTTAGAGAGGTTTTATTACTTTTATGCTGCGTGTTTATTTTTGGTGTTAGCGTCGGCTTGTGGCGTGGTCAACCGAAAAACCAGAAGACCACCGGTGAAAAAACGAGACCTCTAGGAACGGGAGGAGAGGAATTAGCATCCCTAATAGACGAGGCTTGTCTTAATACCGCCCGCAAACATATAAATCACACGTTGTCACCTGCGTCTTAAACGGGCTTTCCACGAAACCGACGAAAGAAGAAGACGCACAGCACGCAGTGGTCAAAGACTTGAAAATTTATCTATTCGGACAAATAAACTCAATACTAGGTCTGAGATTGTTTAAATCGTAACAGTCACTGTAAATATTATTCAGTGTTATCACTGTGGTAACATTGAATAATACTTAAATGGGAACTATTAAAATTAATAGAGAACATTCGTTCTAATTCAGTCCATGGAGACTAAAAGAGGCCCTACACGTAACAATTTGATCTGCATGCCAAATCGCACAGTGCCGATCTTAAGATTATATATATCGTTTCGTCAGTCTATAGTCTAATACAGTTGCCGCCAAGTCTGTGGTTTGTGTAGTTAAAAATATTCAGCATATTGGTAGATCGCCGATCTCATCTCTTCGCCACTATACGTTGAGATTTGGACTGAATTGAAGGACTGTACAGGGTGGGTCAAATTGGACGCTTTTAAATGAAAACACCCTTTTCTATAGGAGATAAACGAAAACTGCTAATCGGTATCTGAGCTCAATTTTTATCAAAAACGTGAAGGTTAAAACCCCACATCGATATCTGATATTACCGTTTCTGAGTTACGGGATGTTTTTCAAAAATGCTAATTTTAACAAGTCGCTGTAAACTGTATTTTTTTTGCTATGGAAAATTTTGTATTTTTAAGAAAACATTTCTAAAGCATCTTATTACGTAGAATTTAATGGTTTAAGTATAATTTTTTTTTAATTAATAATTAAGGATTATCAACAGAAAATTTGATTTTTTATTAGGACGCCCTGTATATTTTTAATTCATTTAAAACAATCTAAAATTACCTCTCCAAAAATATAGCATACTTGATATTTTGCTCGATTCTTCTTCGAGGTATACAGTTTTTAAAATTCGCCCACTTTGAATAAGTAGCCATAACGGCACTTGTGAGCAGCAAATAAAACGAAAATAATATTTGCAATGAGAGATGCAGAATTTTATAACAATTTAAATTATATACCGGGTGTTGCATCGTCGGGCGGGACATAGGAAATCCCATGTAAATTTTAATGGGGTCAATTATTGGCTTCCCTAATTATTTTAGAGAATAATTTTATTTAGGTTTATTAAAGAGCACTAAAAGCCACATTCAAAAGAATAACTTTAGATATTTTTGATTAGCCCGTTTACGAGTTATCGCCGATTTCTTTTTAAATATTTCTCCTTTATTATGGCCCTGTATTTACTTATGAGCACCAGTCAAGGTAAAAGATAACTGTCAAATGATGCTGTCATTTCAGAAATTTATCTATTTAGTGCTTTATTATTATTATTAAAAACTCATACATACATCGAAAATATTAGCCATGAATTACACTACCGAAGAAAAAGTATTGATGATTAAATGGTATTATCAAGGAAATAGTTATCAAGAGGTGTCGGACATGTTTGCTGCTCTGTATCCGAATAGACCGATACCTGGAAAATCTACAATCGTAAGGAATATCCAGAAATTTGAGACCAAAGGTACCCTAATAAATAACTGCAGATGTGAAGCAAGGTAGGAACAAAGAGAAGATGCAAGAAATGATACCGACTTGGAAGTTTTATTGTGCGTGGAAGAGAACGATGGAAAGATCAGCATAAGGAAAGTTGAGGATGAAATAGGAATAGATCACACTACAGCGTTTCGAATTTTGAAACGACATAAATACTATTCCTTCAAATATGAAAAGCACCAAGAGCTACGAGATGGGGACGAAATACGGCGGCAGGCGTTTTCTTTTGATATGATGGAAAAAGCAAACCTGGAGAGGGAATTTTTAAAAAACATATGTTTCACTGACGAATGCACGTTTACCTTAAATATTTATTATCGATATTGGAACAAAGAAAACCAACACAGGTTTGTCGAAACAAGGACGCAATATCCACAGAAAGTAAATGTTTGGGCAGGGATATTCGGACACAATATTATCGGGCCATTATTTCTTACGCGAAATTCAAATGCAGAATATTATTTTTTGGAACTATTCGAAAATCATATTTTACCTGCTTTACATGATGCCGCTAGGGAAAATCAGGAAGTTTGGTACTAAATGGATGGCTGCCCGGCACATAGTACCCTGGCTGTTCGGGAATATTTAGACAATAGTTTTAACGGAAACGTTATTGGCCTAAATCATACAGTAAATTGGCCAGCAAGGTCTCCTGATATTTCGCCAAATGATTTCTTGCTCTGGGGCCATTTAAGAAACAGGATATACAAGGATAAAAAAATAACCAAATCTAGACCAGTTAAAAAATGCTATTTCTGCCGAATGCAATAGAATTTCAGTTTACCAACTAGCCAATATAGGAAGAGAATTTTATGATCGCCTGGGTTATTGTCTAGCAGTCGATGGAGGAATATTTGAATATCTTAAATCCTAAAGTTCTAACAATTTAATAGTACCTAAATTAATAAGTTATTGAATATTGTAATAATACTATAATTAACCTTGTAATTGATTATTTTATTTTACTTTAATTCATATTAATTTGTATTTATAAATACATCTTTAAGATTTCCGATGTAGGAATGAGTTTTCAATAATAATAAAGCACTAAATAGGTAAATTTCTGAAATGATAACTTCATTTGACAGTTATCTTTTACCTTGACTGGAGCTCATAAGTAAATGCAGGGCCATAAAAAAGGAGAAATATTTAAAAAGAAACCGGCGATAAATCGTAAACGAGCTAATCAAAAATATCTAAAGTTATTCTTTTGAATGTGGGTTTTAGTGCTCTTCAATAAACCTAAATAGAATTACTCTCTAAAATAATTAGGGAAGCCAATAATTGACCCCATTAAAATTTACATGGGATTTCCTATGTCCCGTCCGACGATGCAATACCCGGTATGTCATATTTTACTGCTCTAATGCTCTATGACCGCTAGTGATTTACCAAAAGATCTTTTTCCAAGAAAGAATATCTTGACACCACTGCGCGCTGTACCTTCGGCTCCTTCGTGTGAAGCATTTCCATAGTACCGGTACAAACAGAACGTACGAACGGCATAACGATGTTTGAACAAGGGGATAGCGCTTCGGTGCGAAATCGTTTCGAATTTGACACTTTATAGCGCTTTAAACACGACGACAATCCCATGCGTCGCCAACGATAAACGCGTACTTAACACTCGCTTTACGAAATTCAAACAGCTTTTTAAATTGGCAAACAGCGATACGCACAGTGGCGATATCGCTCGGTTTGATTGTTTTTCGACGCTATAATTGATCGTCAAATAACGTTAAAATTACGGTAATCTTCCAAAAGTAATTATTACGTTATTCTTAATTTACAGAAAATTTCAATAATAATAATCTTGTCACAAATATAAATGCATTAATTTTGGGGAAGTTAATTACCGTGACTTTATAGATCTATATATAATGTTCCCCTTTCTTGAGTTTTAACATACAGTCTCAGTTGTAACATACAGGTTTTCCAGAGGTTAATTGTCCATCTCCAATATTACTGTACGAATGGTTGTCGTCTCGGCGCACTCAGTGATGAGATGTTCTGGTGTTTCCTCTTTTTTTGAGGAGGGACTGTTCTGTTAAAAACTCCGTGAAAATCAGAAAATTGTTCTTACTTAAATCAAAGATCTTTGATTTCTTTCATAATTCTTCAGACATTTCTCCTTCGTGTGTTAGACTGTTGGAGGATTCCCATTCCAGATTAGAGATGGAGTCTTCCAGGTTCTTGAGTTCTGCTTTAATTTTGATGCAACTATTGTTATTGACTAACTAAAAGATGTAGAAGAAAATATAGCCCATATTTGATTTACGAGTACGGTATTAGACGCAGGCGAGATGTTGAACGCGAAATTTTTTTGGCGCATTCACCATTTTGTCAACACTTTTTAAAATATTATTTGAAACATTTTTGCTGCATTCACCATTTTGTCAACATTTTTTTTGTTACCTATTATTTATACACTAATACCTATATTTTCGTTTTAGTTTGGGCTAAAACGCATTAACTAAAAAGAGATACAACCAGTTTTCGATAAACACATTATTTCCTGTGAAAATATAATTAAATTTAAATTAAATATAATAAACATTATATACAGTGTCCACCATAAAGTTGGATCCAAATCGACAACTATGAAACTATGAGCCCTTCCCGGACACAAACGGTAAATTATAGAGAGAAACAAGCCCTATAACATAGGATACAACATTTTAATGAACAGTGCTTTCCATAAAATCAATAAAATGAAAAATATACGAAATAATA